TCTCCCCCACTGACACTAACGATGGGGCACTATTCCTCCTCCACACTGACACCAACGATGAGGCACTGTTCCTCCCCCACTGACACCAACGTTGAGGCACTGTTCCTCCCCCACTGACACCAACGATGAGGCACTGTTCCTCCTCCCCACTGACACCAATGATTGGGGCACTGTTCTCCCCACTGATACCAATGATGCGGCACTATTCCTCCTCCCCACTGACACCAATGATGGGGCACTATTCCTCCCGCTGATACCAATGATGGGACACTATTCATCCCACTGACACCAATGATGGGGCACTATTCCTCCCACTGATACCAACGATGGGGCACTATTCTCCCCACTGATGCCAATGAAGGGGTACTATTCCTCCCACTGACACCAATGATGGGGCACAATTCTCCCCACTGATGCCAATGATGGGGCACTATTCCTCCCACTGATACCAACGATGGGGCACTATTCTCCCCACTGATACCAATGATGGGGCACTACTTCTCCTCCCCACTGACACCAACGATGGGGCACTATTCCTCCTCCCCACTGACACCAATAATGGGGCACTATTCTCCCCACTGACACCAATGATGGGGCACTATTCTCCCCACTGATACCAATGATGGGGTGCAAGTCCTCCCACTGACACCAATGATGGGGCGCAATTCCTCCCACTGACACCAATGATGGGGCGCAATTCCTGCCACTGATACCAATGATGGGGCGCAATTCCTCCCACTGACACCAATGATGGGGTGCTATTCCTCCCACTGATACCAATGATGGGGTACTATTCCTCCCACTGATACCAATGATGGGCCGCTATTCCTCCCACTGACACCAATGATGGAGCACTATTCTTCCCACTGACACCAATGATGGGACACTATTCCTCCCACTGACACTAATGATGGGACACTATTCCTCCCACTGACACCAATGATGGGGCACGATTCTTCCCACTGACACCAATGATGGGGCACGATTCTTCCCACTGACACCAATGATGGGGCACTATTCCTCCCACTGACTAATGATGGGGCACTATTCCTCACACACTGACACTAATGATGGGGCACCATCATTGGTGTCAGTGGGAGGAATAGTGTCCCATCATTGGTATCAGTGGGAGGAATAGTGCCCCATCATTGGTGTCAGTGGATGAAATAGTGCCCCATCATTGGTGTCAGTGGGAGGAGTAGTGCCTCATCATTGGTGTCAGTGGAGGAATAGCACCCCATCACTGGAATACCATACTGAAATAGCATACCATATTGAAATCAAATCTGATGTTTTTTCATTTTTATTTGGTGTGCATTGGAAGAGGGGTAGTCTTATACGGCGAGTATAGCTCAAACCCTATATTTTAACAGGAAAAGTAGGGGGTCGTCTTATACGCCCAGTCGTCTTATACGCCGGAAAACACGGTACATAATTATATACATAATTCTCTACATTCCCCATTGTGGCGCCGGTGGTCCAGAGGGAGCTGATGAGTCAACATGCCTCTTTATGCTGGTGTTGCAACTAAAAGGTTGAAGCTTACCACTCATGACAGTATAATTTGTTAGACATTGCTAATTGATTATTCCTATTTTACCAGTTTTCTGCGTTTGTACATCCTAAACCCATTATTTCTGTGGCCTACTCTTGTGAGCAAGTTTAAACACTTGCCCTCCTGAGGATTTACCCCCCTTCCTGACCAGGCCATTTTTTTGTGTTAAGGCGTTGTGTTACTTTAATTGACAATTGCGCAGTCATGCAACGCTGCACCTAAATGAAATTTCCGTTCTTTTTTCCGCACAAATTGAGCTTTCTTTTGGTGGTATTTGATTGCCTGTGTGTTTTCCTAATTTTTGCTCTCTAAAAAAAAGACTGACAATTTTGAGGAAAAAACTCAATATTTTTGACTTTTTGCTATTAAACATGTCCAGTAAAAAAAATGTAAATATCTAATTTCATCATAAATTTAGGCCAAAATGTATTCTGCGACATGTCTTTGCTACAAAAAAAAAAAAAATCCCAATATGTGTAAATTAATTTGTTTACGTGAAAGTTATAGCGTTTACAAATAGCGGTATAGATACTACAATTTTTTTCCATTACTAATAATGGCGGCGATCAGCAACTTATAGCGGGACTGCAGCAGGCATTCTGACACTGGGGGGGGAACAGACTTGGTGTCACTGACATCCCCAGTGACATCAATACTGTTATCAGTGCTAAAAAAATAGCACTGACACTGTACTAATAGCACTGGGCAGGAAGGGGTTAACATGAGGGGCGATCAAAGGCTTAACTGTGTGCTGGGAGTGTTTTACTGGAGGGCTGTGTGTTGGTGCTTCACTGTAAGCACACTGCTCTGGATGGCTGTGCTGTGCACAGCCATCCAGAGCAGTGTGCCCAAGCCAACAGGGAGGAGGACTGTTAGTAAAGAAAGCAGCCCTCCTCCCTGTCAGAGATCCTCGGTAATCACCGGGCGCCGGCGGGTAATCACCGTCTGGGACCTGGTGACTGACAGCCACAGGCACAAATGGCAGCGTGGGTCACGCACGCCCCCTACCTGGAAATGCGAAATCACATATATATATGTGATTTTGCGCACCCCTGCTGCCCTGTAGCAGTATATCTGCTATAGGGTGGAGGGGAAGCGTTTAATATAGAGGTGTTACTAAAGATCTTGTTTCTCTAAACTGTTGAAATATGTCTGAATCTAGAGTGTCAGAAGTGGCTTATAAGGTCAGGCCAACCACTGGGGACAAGCATTATCAGGCGGCCCCTGCAGGGGTAGTGCTACACAAGTAAAACTGAACTCCAGGTAAACAGCTAAATACATAAATGAAATATATATGAGGGACAACTACTTGCTGCTCTGTCATAATAGATTTATGAGCGTAATTGAAGATTGAAAGCTTGCTTCTGGGTCCCTCTACTGACCCGCGCTGTGGTTGGACACAGCTCAATTTTGTCAGCAGGTCCCAGCCAATGTTTATTGGCTGAGACCTGCTGATCGGCTGTGTCCAATCACAGCACAGAGCCCTGTGTTTACAAACAACACAGGGCTCTGTACACAGAGCAGCGATATGGCTATTTTTCTCTCTGCAAAACACAAAAAAACAGCCCGTATTACACACATTATACCTGTTGAGCACACATTTAACCCTTTGAGTGTCCCTAGATGTTAACCCCTTCCCAGCCAGTGTCATTAGTACAGTGACGGTGTACAGTTTTATATTTTTGATCAATGTATTAGTGTCACTCTTGATGTCAGTCAGTTAGTGTACCTCCCAGTAAGGATCTGTTAGCGCCAGACTATCCATCACACTATCACAGTCCCACTATAAGTCCCGAGAGCTTATTAAATGTGATGCAGTTTCCCTGGAAAAGGAAAATAAAAGAACATAATTTTTGCTTGCACTTGATGGAAGTCATCGGAGCTTCATCTCATTCACTAAGGCTAGGTTCACATCTGTGTGGGTGGTGCCGCTGCGTATCCACACGAAAATCCGTGCAACTGCACCACCTGCACAGAGAAATGCCGACTCGCAGGCGGGTGCCATTAGTTCCCTTGCGGGCTGCGTTTTTGGAAGAAGTGTAGCAACTTCTCTGCGTGTCATGGGGCACGGGAGTCCATTCAAATGTATGAGCTCTTGTGCCCGTGCAAAACGCGGCCCGCGTGGCCGCATATATGTGAACTGGGACTAATCTCGTGGGAAAATTCTCTTGCAAAGTGCAACTTTCCTTGCAAAGTGAGCAATCTATTTGTCTTTAGTAAATCAATCTGAATGTCTTCTATGGCACTGTTTTTAGTCGAATGCACTTGCTTCAGTTCCATACTAAGTATCCATCACCAAAGTGGAAGGCGAATAGAGAAAGCTCTGTTTTGGAATGATATATTACATCTTTATGCAAGTTTTGCTTTTAACGCTTGTTGTCCTGGCATGGATCCATTAATAATACTGGCATAAATTCACTGACAAATCAGGATGTCTTTCTGACCCTTGTGAAACTCTAGAACAGAATGTTGATAAACCTCCCCAGGTATGATGGCAGAAAGGCTCACATTACCTTAATCTACATTACTGAAAGAATGTTATTTTATTGTCAGAAGCAATCCTCCAACTTGCCCTTGAGCCGGCTGACATGGTTATGCCCTTGATAGCATACAAGGAGATAACCGAATCAATAGCTACCTCACTGACTGTTTAGGGGCAGGATCACCAGCTTTCATTTACAGTCTGCCCTGAAGCTATTCCCCGCTGCAAGGTCAAAGATTAAATCAAAAGGTTCTTTTATATTTGAATGATTATAAGTAAATTGACATGCTTAGCATAGTTGTTATCTAAGAATAACATTGGGTATTTCCTGTTTAGACTGTATATTTAGTTTACAAGCGCTTTCACTCCTTGTCATGAAGTAACTTGGCTGAAGAGTTGTGTAAACATCCTGCAATTAACTGTATTGGAGAAAACATGGACTTTATTCAGGGAACTGGAGGTGCTTTATAGCTGCCAACTATTCATCACAGTCTGAATTAAAGCTCAATTCCAGGTATGAATTTTTTTGTATAGTTACATTTTTCCAATATACTTACTCCATACCTGACTGATCCTCATGGAAGCTGGAATTCACTGTAGTAGAAGCTGTTACTACAATGATCCTTGTTTTCTACTGGATCCCGGGCCAGGATGCTGCCCTGCTGTATATTAGTTACAGGGGGCCACTTGCTCAGCACAGGCACCATTCAGAACATGCCTTTTTTACAAGGTGTTCCCCGATTGGATGAAGTAGAGATCGTGATGCCACCAACCTGACTCTGCACCAATGTTGCCAACCTACCAAGCTGGCAACTTGTTCTCCCGATAAAAGTACTTTATTAACCCCCCAGCGGTATTCCCGAGTGTAGCTCGGGGTTAACTTTCAGTACCAGAAGCAGTAACCCCAAGCTACACTTGCTCAGGGATTCCCTCTTGAACTTACCTTGTCCTGCGCTCCCATGATGTCCCCCCTGCAGCGTCCCCAGCCATATCCTCCGGCCGATGCCGGCATCCGTCTTCCGGGTTCCATTCCCTACGAGCGTCGGGACATACGGGGAACGGAACTGGCGGGAAATTAAAAAATTTTAAAAGTGACATTCACTCAATACACTAAAATCTGATAGTAAAACATTACTGCATCTTCCGGGTTCCATTCCCTACGAGCGTCGGGACATACGGGGGACGGAAATGGCGGGAAATTAAAAAATTTTAAAAGTGACATTCACTCAATACACTAAAACCTGATAGTAATACATTACTGTATCAAACCATTCCACATACATTTTGTCCCAAGTGCTTTGTCCTGTGCCCTGCCTGCATTTTTACTGTTCTTTCTGCCTGGAAACTGAGAAAAGTCCATGGCGTCCAAAAAGCGTCCCTTTAGGTCAAAAGCGGTTTTAGACCAGCTAGAGAACAGCGATAGTAAATTAGAACTACTTGCAGAATTGAGTGATAATGATTCGTGGGGAAATTCGTCATCAGACACTGAAAACGATTTTGCAACTAAGATCAGTGATGTGCGAACTTGGTGCTATATTTCAAATTTCAGTGTTTTTGGTTTGATTACATTATTGAATTAAATTTATTATTATATTTTATGATTATTTAATATAATATAATTTATGATTTCGTGTTTCAAATTGTACCACTTTCAGCACAGAAATATTGACATAATCATACTGTTAGGGAGGTTAATAAAGGTTACAGTGTGCAAGTTACAGCAGCTTACGCACTTCAGTAAAAAAAACTTATCATTGATGGCTATGAATAAGGTTTTTACCGAAATGCATAACCTACTGTAACCTTTATTAATAAAGTATTTTAATAGGATAACAAGTTGCCGACTCTTCACCTTATATTCTCATGCTGTTTAACTAATTCAAGTCCAGACACTTTCAACCCCTTCCAGTCCAGGCCAATTTTCAGCTTTCAGTGCTATCACTCTTTGAATGGCAATAAAACAGACAGATAAAACTTTATTTTGGTGGTATTTATTCACCCCTGGAATTTTAATTTTTTTTGCTATATAAATGAAAAAGTCCAAACATTTTGAAAAAAAAGTGTTTGCAAAAAAAAGTTTGCAAATAAATAATCTTTCTTCAAAAATCTTGGCCAAAATGTATTCAGCTATCTTTGTAGTAAAAAAAAAAAAAAAAATAACCCAAATTAGTTTATATCCAAAAATTATAATTTTTTATTTTTTTTTTTTACATTTCCATAAATTTTTTTTTTTTATATTATTATTTATATATTACAGGTACTTATGTAGCGCCATCAATTTACGCAGCACTTTACATATATATATATTGTACATTCACATCAGTCCCTAATCCTCAAGGGGCACACAATCTAAGGTCCCTAACTCACATTAATACATACATATACTAGGGCCAATTTAGACAGAAGCCAATTACCATACCAGCATGTCTTTGGAGTATGGGAGGAAACCAGAGAACCCAGAGGAAACCCATGCAAGCACAGGAAGAACATGCAAACTCCAGGCAGGTGGTGCCGTGGTTGGGACTTGAACTAATGACCCTAGCACTGCCAGGCGGAAGTGCTAACCATTATGCCACTGTGCTGCCCATTATTATTATATTATTATTATTATTATTTTTTTAACATACTGTCACCCTAGCAGTACAGTGTCACCATAGTGACACTGTACTACTTGTTTGGGGGGGGGGGGGGGTGATGAAGATTTTTTTTTTTTTACACTGTTTGCTTTTACATAAAGGCTGTAAAAGCAATAATTTCTCCTTCTCTCTGGCTGCATTCATGCAGCCATTGAGAAATACTGTGTGAGCTGTGATTGCCACATAGTACAAGGCTGTTGTGAATAGCCTTGTACCATGTGATCTCTGTGATCATTCACAGATTTCACAAGTAGTAAGCAATGATGTCAGGAAGTGACATTTTGTTTACTACTATTCATGTGATCTCTGATTGACCAATCAGTGATCACATGAATCAGGACCTCACACAGAGGTCCCGTACAGTGATTGGTGTTCCTCCAGACACAGCGGGCACCGATCGCGGTGCCATGTGCTCCCAGGGAGTGCGCACACAGGCAATGAAGGCGGGGGGAGGGGCGGGATGTTTAGAAATGTCCACCCGCTTGGCAGCGCTCCCTTCCGGACGTTTATCTATTTGGGCCGGACGGGAAGTGGTTAAAGTGTAGAGCTATTCACCCTGAGGTCATCACAGAGGACAAGGGGGAACTCTTTACATCTGGAGTAAAATAAATTTCAGAAAGGTTTCTTCACAGTAAAAGCTGTGAAAATGTAGAATTGACTCCCTCAAGAGTTGGTTCTGGTCAGCTTAGTGGATTGCTTTAAAAAAGACCTGGATTCTTTCCTAGATACACCTAATATAACTGCAAGGATGAGCTCAGAAAGGAGCTCATGAGGAAAGATTAGAGGAATTGAATTTATTCTCTCTTAAGAAGAGGAGATTTTGGGGGGATATGATCAACATGTATAAATACATCAGTGGTTCATATAGTGAACTCCGTGTTATTCACCCTTAGGTCATCAGAGGGCAAGGGGGCACTATTTATGTCTGGGGGAAAAGAGATTTAATCTCCAAATACGGAAAGGTTTCTTCACAGTAAGAGCTGTGAAAATGTGGAATAGATTCCCTCAAGAGTTGACTCTGGCCAACTCAGTGGATTGCTTTAAAAAAGGCCTGGATTCTTTCCTACATACACAGAATATAACTGGATACTAACATTTATAGGTAAAGTTGATCGAGGGAATATCCGATTGCCTGGATCAGGAAGGAATTTTTTTCCCCTGCAGGAGCAAATTGAATCATGCTTTGCTGGGTTTGTTTGCCTTCCTCTGGATAAATTGTGGGTGTAGGATTATAACTTTTTTTTTAAATGGTTGAACTGGATGGACTTTTGTCTTTTTTCAGCCAGACTAACTATGTAAAGTGGCAGGAAGACAATGAGAGCTTTGGAGCACTGTTAGTCTACCTCCAGGGGAATTCAACCTAGGTGTACATTTTCATTTGTTGCCAACCTACCAGATTGAAATTCACTGACACGACACCCAAATTTTACTGTAACAGTCAAGTTTTTACTGGCATTTCCAAAAGTTAAAAAAATATGGTTTTAAGTGTAAACTTCAGTATTTAGGGTACAAACAAGTACAATATGCAATTAGCAATGTGATTTAAGGTAGATATTAAGGCAAATAACATTTTATTTTTGATAGAGTAAGCAAGTAGCTCAGGGACAGGAAATTAGAACGGGCAGGCACACGCAAAGGAAATTGACTCTCAGCAATGTCAGCAGCACAGATGATGATGACACCTCACCAACATGATAAGTCCCCTCCTGAGTCACAGTGACAGTCTCTCCACACCAGGTGGTCCCTTCAGTCCACCCCAGTCCAAACAGCACTGACAGTCACGCTCCCGGATTGCCTTACTCCTGTCCCACAGACTCACACACAAGGCTCCGGCCACTCTGCTCGGGTCCTTTGCACCCTGACATCACGCAACATGCTCATGCACCATCTTTGCCAGACCCCCCCCACTGTCACTCAAATCATCTCGGCTGGCTCCGGAGCCGAGCGTCACAGCCGTGTTTTTAACTGGCAACCTTTCCCTGTGACTGGCATTTATTGGTAGGAGAAATGTGCCTGTTTTTTACTGGCTGCCAGTAAAAATAATGACAGTTGGCAACATACTTTGCAATGGTTTCCTGTCTGCACTGGTCCTTTGACCTCAGCATTTTTCTGAGTTCACTTGAAAGATATGTGGGTCATTAGCTCAAAACGTTTAGGCCAGAAGGTCAACTTGATAACTAGAAAACTCAAGTTAAGATCCAGAGAACTTATGGGCTTCCTCATCACATTTGAAGGTTGATGGAATCTCCTTGAACCCATCAAAACGGCATTTCATGAAGAAATTAGTGAACAACACTATTTAATGTGTATGTATTTGAGTCAAAACTTTGTAGAATTTGGTTAGAGTACAGAAGGGTTAGAACCTCTGCTCACTTTTTTTTTCTGTCTTTCCATTAGGGAGATGAAACTTCTCTATTTGGTATAGTGACCATTGTCATCAAGACAGAACGTGAGGGGAAATCCAAAATGTTACAGTTTACTAGAAGAGGTGAAGATAAATTCTGTAACAGAGACACCTGTACCTGTTCTGGTAACAACTGTCTTAAAGAGGAGTTCTCCTTACATTGTGCAGATTTCTTCTCACTTCCTGCTGCTGTTCCTATAGAACAAGAAGTGAAAGGAAATATCCCCATCAGGACACCGACAGCAAAACAATAAACTGACAGGGGTTTAAAGGATAAGTTCACCTTTGGGAACATGTTACACGTTCCACCCCTTTTTTAGGTTTATCAAAAATGTTCCCACTTAAAGAGCCACTGCCCGCTCCGATGTATCTGCTGACAGCTAGTGGGGGATCTTCTCCCACGTAGCCATGTCACTCATTCACCGAATTCTGTGAATGGAAAACTGTAAGTACCGTCCGCCTTTGCAGCTTGTAGTTCTCAGTGAACTACCACGGCTCTGTTGAGCGCTCTGGTAGTTTACTGTCTTTTCCTGTCAGTGTAAAACTGCCTGCTCATACAAGGTATGAGCAGACAGATACACTGACAGGTCTGCAGGAGTCCTGCATGGTACCAGCGATCTACTGATTATGGGTGTAATGCTTTCGAACTTCCAAGTAAAAAAAAGAAAATAATAAATAATTGCACATTTTTTTAATGGCAAAAAGGTGTGCATTTGATATATATATATATTTTTTTTTACAAAGGTGAACTTATCCTTTAAACCAGCCTTTCTCAACCATGGTGCCAAGGCAGCCCTGGGGTGCCTTGAGGCTTCTTCAGGGGTGCCTTGGCAAAATGTGTAGAGATTGCCAAAAACATGTATACAAGCCAGTGCGTGGAACAAAGCCACATTTTTTCATTGTGCACCATTACGACCTTCTAGCCGCCGGCGTCCTGACAACCAATGACATCATCAGTTGATAAGGAAGATGTCAGTTGCCTGCATAGCATACTAGTTTAACCCTCCCCTTCCCCTCTCTATCAGTGCTGGGGTCACATTAGCTCAGTGATGGAGGAAAACTGAGGGAAAATAGAAACACTGGAATACTGGTTAGTAGCAGTGTGCAAAAGTGTACTTGTTTTTGAAGAATAAATCACATCTAATGTTGGGTGTCCCACATGTGTGGATGTTGCTCAATTATGTAAAACTATTAGAATAGGTTTCACATTTTAGAATTATGGACAGTCTAGAAGCCCCCATTTTAGAATGGGGTGCCTCAAGACTTTCCATAATTTTAAAGGGTGCCTCGGGACTGCTCATAATTTTAAAGGGTGCCTCGGGTCTGTCCATAAATTTAAAGGGTGCCTTGGGACTGTCCATAACTTTAAAGGGTGCCCTGGGACTGTCCATAATATTAGAGGGTGCCTTGACTGAAAAAAAAGGTTGAGGAACATTGCTTTAAACCCTT